ATTTCTACTTTTCAATATTCATTTTTTCGAATTTCTAAGGCACATTATTTTCATTTTTGTATTTTATTATTTTTGTCTCCATTGCTCATTTTATTTTTACGTAACTCTCTTTTTATATACTAATTCAAAGGAATTTTTTAAAAAACTATCAATTATTCTTAAACTTGAAATTGAGATAGAGAAAAAAAACTTTAAAGATAAGTTAAACTTAATCGAACGAATAAATTTGAAAGACATGATTATTCATCATATTTCTTTCTCATTTTTTCAATTCTATTCTAGAGAGACGTAAACTACATTGATATGATTTATTCATTTTTTTATCAATGGAAAACCTTATAAATTGAATAAATGAACAAAAAATTGGCGATGCCACTTATTTATCCTTTTAATATGCATTATAATATTAGTAACTCAATCCCCACACATTTTAAAGAGTATTAAACAATTTTTAAAGTAACATATGATTGAATGAACACTAATTTAATTTATTTTAAAAATTCAAAATAAAGTAAAATAATAAAAAATTAAAGAAAAAAATTATTTTTTTTTAAAAAAGAATCAACGAAGCATAGTAAACGTAGGAAGAAACACTAAATGCGGCATGACAAGGCAAGTTATATTTAATGGATTAAGGATAATTTTTTTCTTTCCCGATCCGTTTTGCTCCATTTTCTTATTTACTTCTTATAAGTTGAACCCCCTCCACGAAAATCCTGGCTCCGCCACTGCCCACAAGTACCTTCTTCAACCTGAGTGCTTGTTTTCACTAGATGTACGAGGAGGATTTGATGTTGGTACATAATTATGATAAAGTTCATTCGAAAAAAACATTTAAACCACAAACTTCACAACCTACCAAAAAGTGGGTAAAAACTTATTGATACAAGTTATATATATCAAACTAATGAATACATGATATATATATATATATATATATATATATATATATATATATATCATTCACATATCATTATCATTAAACCATAATTAGTTCATATATATCCTAACCTTAATTTTATCATTTAATCATAATTAATTAATATGATTTGGTATAAATATTATACTTGATATATTTTTATCCAAGAAAGAAGAAAAATCTAATAGCAACCATTTTTGTTGGTCCAATCCAATCCAGCCTCTCCAACTTGTTTTTGAAAGATGATTAAAATTCAATTACCCACTTCACAGCTTGACACGTGGCACCTTCCTAGTAAGCCACGTCATATCTGTCCTCTGGCATACCCAAAGCTGCCTAAAAACCACAAGTAATTGGCCATAACTAAAATAACCAAACTTTTGAAGTCTTTTAATAGGAAAGAAGGCAAACCTAAGCCTTACCAAACTAATTTAGACATTCATTATTTTATACACTATAGTTTATATTATAGTATAATATAGCTAGCCTCTATGTAACAGAACATGTCCTAAACTCTTTACACCTCCTAACTGGCTCCTACCAAAAAAACAAAAAATGGACTGGACCAGAGGCCACATTATAGGCCATGGCTCTACAGCAGCCGTGTCGGTCGCCATGTCACGCTGCACTGGTGAGATATTTGCTGTCAAGTCCACGGAGTTGTCTCGATCCGAATTCTTGGAAAAATAGCAAAAAATTCTATCAACATTGAACTCTCCTTACGTAGTTGACTACAAGGGGTACGATGTAACTAGAGAGAACAACAAGGTAATGTTCAATCTTATGATGGAGTACATGCCCGATGGAACACTCATCGATGAAATTAGGAAACAGGGAGGCCAATTGAATGAGGAATTGATCTGACACTATACGAAACAAATTGTTCAAGGATTAGATTACCTACACTCGAAAGGGATAGTGCATTGCGACATCAAGGGTCACAACATTTTGTTATGTAACACTGATGTCAAAATTGGGGATTTCGGGTGGGTTGATGGTGTGACAATTGGTGGCACACCTATGTTCATGGCACCAGAAGTAGTTCGTGGCGAAGAACAGGGTTTTCGTGCTGATATATGGGCGTTAGGATGCACGATTATTGAAATGGCCACGGGTGGTTCACCGTGGACTAATGTTAACAACTCTGCTTCATTGCTATACCATATAGCATTTTCTGGGCTAACACCAGAAATTCCCAACTTTTTGTCATCACAAGGAAAGGAATTTTTAAACAAATGTTTGAGAAGAGATCAGAAACAGAGATGTTCAGCGAAAGAGCTACTCAAACATCGATTTCTTGATTTATACAACGAAGAATATCAAGACGAGTTCTCCAACAAGTGTGATTGATCAATGCATTTGGAATTCGAACGAAGAAATTGATGATTCAATACAAGAAATGAGTCGTTGTTTAACGGAATTGACTCTACAAAGGGTAAGAAAATTGGAATTACAATCAGGAAAACCAGATTGGAAATTGGATTATGAGTGTTGGATCCTGGTAAGAAAGAAGAGTGAAGATTTGCCAACCTGTAAAAATGGCATGACAACTTTTTCGGAAAAAACACACTTTTATTAATTAATTACATTCTCAATACCCTCTCTCACGTGCAAGCCTAATTCTTTTTTCATGGCCAAGCAAGTGAATATTCTTTTTTATATGGACGGCGGTGAGATTCAATCTCAGAACCATTTTTCCTGTGATTCAATGCCAGAACTTATTTGTCTGGTTTGATATTATGTTGAAATATGCAATTATCTCATCTAAAAGTTTAAGCTAATAGAGAGATCATAACTTTATTAGTTAATTATATCCTCAATGAAATGGAGATGGAAAGATGTAATTGCCAAGATAACATTTTTTATTGTAGTAGTTGTAGAATAATAAATAGTACACTCATAAAAGAGGTTCACCAAATAAAATTATGTGTTCATAAATCTCTCTTTTAAATTCCATAGACTTACTTTTCTTATTTTGCATTTGCCTCATTTGCACTTAAAGCATAAGAGATTAGCTCATAGAATTACAGTTCAACACCCAAAATAGTATCCTTTTATTCTCTTTTATTTGTCCACTTTGAATTTTGCATGTTCTTTAAGAAATGATTAATATTAATATTTTACTACAATATACATATTAATTGATGTATAGTCTTGATCTTACAAAATGATTGGGAGAATAAATAATTAGTGTTGAGGATAAAATAGGAAAGAAATAATTTTCTCGTGATATGCTATATTACTTTCAATTGTCCTCTTTTATATTTAACAAAACATAATATCCTTGTTTCATTCAAAATGAGGCATCGAAACGTTAGATCATTGACTTCTATCAATAATAAATTATTAAAGATCACATCCGACGCATATTCTACACATGTGTGTTTGGCACAATTTGTTAATATTCCATGTATAACGAATGCATGATGAGTCGGTTCACATTTTATGTACCAAAGATTGCAAGATCTTTAAAATATTTTATATTTAGAAAGCAACAAGTCGTTTATCATTTATTTTTTTATTTAAATCTACACTTATTATTTTAATAAGTAAAGTATTAATATATTTAAGGATAATTAAAATGGAGTAGATTTAATAAATAATCTTTAGACTAAGACTATGAAATACAGTTTCAAGAAATATGCATAAATTTTAAAAGACAGAAAATAAGAATCGGATCGGAATTACTGCATTGGTAAGTTCTTTCACCATTTGTGTTGGGTGGATATTACTTTTTTTATGCATTTATTATTTGTCTGCTCTTAGGGATAAACTCAAACTGTTTTAATTAATCATTATTGATCAGTTTAATTAGTATGATAACTACATATTTATTGTCAATAATCTTATGGGCATGACAAAAAGAAGAAAAAAGGCTTAATTGAATAGAAATTTGATAAAAGTATCCAACCTAAGGAGATCTTTCCCTGCCTAATCTTTTCTAGGCACCATTACATAGTCATAATACACACATGTCACAATAATGTGCAATTGTCTTTGAGAGATTTGGTGTTTGGAGTCTATCACAAATGTTATTTTAGTTATATGATCCTTCTCGAGATCAGTAAAAGATTAACACAAAATATATATAAATAAAATATAAGAGATTTTGGTATATAATTAGTTTCTTCTATTCAAATGATAAGTGGACATCAGAGATCATTTTCTCCTATTGTGAAGAGTATAATCTCTTAAGATGGATCATATTTTTGTTATCTCAACCTCTCCACCTACTCATAGGGAAAGTAAAAATAAAATAAACTCTTCAAAGCTGAAATCGCATAGGCAACCTCAGCTTAGCTTCCATTAAACATTCGATTGAAGCATTTCTTTGCAGAAAACAGATCTAAACTTAAGGGTGTGTTTGGTACGAAGGAACAACAATAACAAACTCAGTGTAGCCTCAAAAGTTAGGTCTAGAGAGGATTGAGTGTATGTAGACCTTATCTCAACCTTTGTGGGGAGGAAAGGAGGCTATTTCTGGCAGACCCTCAACTCCTGACATGGAGTAAAACATTCAGTTTTTCCATGTGTGGTCAAAATATTTGGAAATCATTTTTAGAAAAAGTTCCTTAAAAATGTGGAATATAACTTCCCTACCAAAAGCAGGGAAAACAAACTCCATAAGTGTCATTTCAAGTTTATTGTCTCCTCTTCACCTACTCAACGCCCAAAAAACCCATCCCTGGACCATCCCCCCCCCCCCCCATAGTGTTTTGCTAGATTATGTATAAATGTTCTTGGAGAAGTAATTTTGTATTCTTACCCAACACTATAAAATAAATAAGAAATCTTATTGTTTTCCAAGAAAACATTTTCCTTCATGCTAAACACAGCCTAAACAAAGTTCAGAGGCACATCCAATAAGCCCTGTTATTTTTGGATTTTCAGTGGCAATTACCAATAGATGTGATGCTTGTTTCTTTAAGCTGGTCAAGCTCAGCTTACATGAATATGGCAACAAGCTAAATGAAGGATGACACAGGCAAATAATAGATGACTCCACAAGAAAGAAGCAAAGGTAAATTCATTAATTTTATTCACCTTTGAAGTAACCAATAAATGGAAGAAGAAGAGGAGGAGGAAATTAAAGCTCAAGTCTCTGCACATCCAACTTTCAGTCATCAGTTCTCTTTGATAATTTACATTAGTTATACTTACAAGAAAAACGCATCTTCCAGTGGAAGCAAGTGTTAGTTGTCCTCAACACTGATAAATTGGTCTTCGGTGTCTGGGCGAGGATGATGAAGGAGTGGCAGAGAAAGGGTACTCACCATATTTTGTTGCTGTTTCCGATACATTCTCAAAATCTACACATTTTCCATTATTTTCAACTGTTGGGAACCCAAGCTTGGTTTTCAAATTAGACCATTCATTTGACTCGTCAATTTTCTGGACCTCGTGGCTTATTGACTGCAACTGGTTCCGAAGTGTCTGATTGTAATCAAATAAACGATCATATTTGAGACGGAATTCTTCAAAGTTGTTCTTTAATTCTAACACGATAGCTCCTTCAGCTCGAGCCTTATTAGCTTTCATCTGATAATCCATTTTCAGTTTCTTCATTTTAGCTGTCAAATCTGCAACCTTCCCCTGTAAAACTCTACAATGACCCTCCATATGCAATTTCCTTTCCTGAAGTATTTTTCTTTCAGCCTTGATAATCTTCCTAATAGAGATGTTCTCCATTATTACAGGGTGCAATTTGTCCAACACCATCCATGCAAATAGTGAAAATCCTGCAAATCACAGGTTTAGCATTAAAACCAAAGGGATTTGCAGAACGTGTTCGAGTATATTCATCTGCACAACCTATATAAATGTCACTCCTATTGGCAATTGACAAACAACAGCTTCAGTTTTAGGTACTCCCTCCATTTCAATTTGTTTGTCGGGTTTTGACTAGGCACAAAGTCTTGTAGTCTTAAATAAAGATATGTAGAATGTACCAAAATGTCCTTTAATCTTGTAGACTTAAACATGACATGTGGAAAGTTGAAATTAAAGAGTTGCCGAAAAGGGAAAGAGGCATTCTCTTTTACAAGGACTAAATAGAAAAGTAAGACAAACAAATTGAAAGAAACTAGAGTAGTACTTTTTGGAGTGAGTCAATGTTATTAGACTGAACAATCAAAATCACATTCATTACTGGTGGATATGCGGGAAGCCACATATAAGGTTCAAAGTTAGTTTAGTAACTCGTACCCGTACAAAGGATTCAATATGCTTTCATTAAATAACCTTTCCTGGCCTTATAAAGATATCTGGGGGTCAGGTGAATAAACAAGAACCATATAAATGGCTTCTGTTATGGTTAGCAGCGGAGGCCGAAAGCAAAAGAGTTACAATCAGCAGTTAAAGTAGTCGCAATATATGCTCCCGATCCCACAAGACATTGGAGAAATGTTCAAAGAAATGGAGAAACAATCTATTTGAGGAAGAGGAAATAGCTACCAAAGAGATGACAAAGAAAAACATTAGTTCCAAATGCTCAAAGGTAATTGACATGATTGTTACTTGTAAATAATAAACTCGGTGGCATTTCACCAGTAGAATGACAGGCTTCCAAAAATTGTGAGGTCCTGGGTGCCTTGTTATTTATTGAAGAGCTAGACACTTGGCACGTGTATCTTATCTCAAGTATGACAAACTTTATATTAAAAAATAATAAGATTTTAATCACCTATTTAGTTTGAAAATTATGTTTGAGATGATAAAATTGAAATTAAAGAAGCAAATGTCACATGTATATGGTGGCTACAATCTACATATACATATAGTCCACATGTTCACTTTTAATTTTCTCGATATTAGAATCTTCTCATTTGGTAAATATGCATCTCCAATCTTGGACTACTTATTCAAGGATGGGTAAAAATATACAGGAAGATTAGTCACATTATTATGATACTAGATAGTTAACAATTATATTTGTTGGAATATGGTAATACAATAGATCAGCAGAAGTTCGAAATCTGTGTTTTGAAATGGCGGAAGAATGTACAAGGGATTACCCTGCATTTTATGCAGCTTCATCTTAGACTGAATTACATACAATTATATAGTTTGACAGAAGACTTCATTTCCTTTTTCTTAATAGGTGGTTTATTCGCAACAAATAACTAGCAAGTCTTAACATGGGGCTCTCCGTTTCAAGAACCTAAAAGGCCATCTGGAGATCTGCTAGCATGCTGGAACTTCAAGGGATGAGTTGTTAATCAGGATTGACGGTAGAAAAGCTTACCTGGATGTATATGGTGGACTATTTGGAAGGAAAGGAACTCAACATTCTTTGAAGGAATTTTTGTAGTAGAGCGAAGATTTACTCTAGGGGTTTTTGCTTTTCTGTAAGCTATCAAGATAGCTCTCAGCACAAACTTTGTGCTTAATTTTATATAATAATGTTACCTTTCCCAAACAATGTTATATGCATCCTTTCCGCTCTACTCAGGTAATATTAGAGAATTCACATAGAGACTATTTTTAAGCTAGCTGTCACCGAACCTAATGTAACTCTCAATCTATCCGGGTTTGGGACTAACTTTGCTATGGTGAAGCTTAGATGGACAAAGTTGACAATTAGTATTGAACCATAATGTATTAACGTTGTTTCTTATCAAACGTAAATCCAGATTCTTCTTTGAAGCATTTTGTATCTGGTTATTCTGAATTAACTCGGTAGGGGTAAGATCGGCATACACTCTACCCTCCCCAACCCCACTTTGTGAGATTACACTAGGTATGTTGTTGTATATCCTGAATTTTTGGAAAACAATTCATCATCATGGCATTGCCTTCTCAAAGTAATGTTCTAGGTATTGTTTTGTCTAAGCTGCTTCACTGTGGATTTTGTATCAACATTCAACAGCAAATCTGAACAAAGCAGGAAAATCTTCTTTCAGAAAGCTGCTACTCCATTTGTCTAGCCAGAAGAGTGTGTTTTCCCTGTTGCCTACTTTAATAAATCACTGAACTCTTGCCATAACTTGCTAATATGATTCCATGGACCAACACCATGTGATGTTCTATCGACCTTGTTATGCCAGTTTATGTTCCCTCCATGCTTAATTCTCACCACCATCTTGAGAAAGCCTCGTCCTTTCTCCTTGGGCACTCTGGCCCATTTCACCAAATGAAACTTGTATTGTGTGCTATTCCCTAAAAACCTTCTTCTGATTTTGTCTTATTGCTTGAGAACCTTACCTAGGATTGGAAACAAGGTCATGAAATACATTGGAGTGCTATCCAACACACTATTCATCAAAGTAAACCTCTCTCCCAATGAAAGGTATGGTGACTGTCACGTGACCAACCTTTTTTACAAACTTCTCTATTACTCATTGCCATACTTGATTGCTTTTATATTTAGCTCCTAAAAGTAGTGGGAAGAGTGCCTATGTTGCATTAAAGTATCTCTGGCAACTCTTGTGTGATGTCCACTGTATTAACTGGATGATTGACTGATTTTCAAGTTAATGAGCAGGCCCGAGACAATTTCAAACACAACAAGCAACATCTACAGATGTCTCAGTTGGCCTGTCTGAGCTTCACAAAAAATCAGTTTAACATCAGCACATAGAAGATGAGAAAATTGAAATTTCTTCTCCCATTCTGGACCCTACTGTGAACCCCTTAATCCATTGGTTCTAGACTACTTTTCCTGTCATGCTACGAAAAGCTTTCATTACCAAAATGAAAAGGAAAGAAGACATAGGGCCACCTTATCTCAACCCTCTTTGAGGTGGAAAGAATACCACAGGTTCAACATAAATGGAATACCATGCTATTGTGATACAAAACTTAATCCATTTAAGCCATTTTTCTCCAAATCCCATTTGCTGCAAGATGTTGAATAGAAATTGCCAACTAACATGGTCATATGTCTTCTCCAAATCAAGTTTACATAGAAGAATCCCTTGCTCCCGTTTATTCATTCTCCAGTTCAATAACTCATTTGCAATAAGAGAAGCATCTATAATTTGCCTTCCACTTAAGAGAAACCAAATTTTTTAATTACCTTTTTCGACCTTTCTGCCAGCAGCTTAGATATAATTTTATACACACTTCCTATCAGATTAATGGGCCTAAAATCTCTTATATCTTCAGCACCCTTCTTCTTGGGAACTACGGCAATAAAGGAGGCATTGCAAGCTCTAGCAAAGCTGCAGGTCTGCTGGTAGTATTTTAGGGATTTGACGACATCTACTTTAAGTATCTGCCAAGCTTTTTGATGGAAGGCCATTGTAAAGTTATCACGGCCTGGAGCTTTATCAAGTACGAACAGTTTTATTGCCTCCTTTCTTTAAAGTCCCTCTCCAACCACCTTTGTTCCTCCTCAGTTATGGTCCCATGCCCATAGATATCCATTGAAGGTCTCCAAAATTCTGCTTCAGTAATTAAAATTTTCTGATAGAAACTCAGAATTCCTCTTTTAGTCCCTTCTGCCTCTTCTACCACCTCATCTTTTGCCACCAATCAGCTTATGGTATTGCATCTTCTGTGTGAATTCGCTACCTTCGGAAAGGATTTGGTGTTCCCTATCCCATTGTTTTAACCAAAGACATCTAAACTTTTGGCATCATGAAGTCTATTTTGCTTTGCCAATCTTTTCCAACTCCATCTCTATGTCCCTCCTTCTGTGATTTTCTTCTTCGCTAAGGTGCGTGTATTGAGCATTCTGATTCACGGTCTCCAGTTCCACCAACATCTCTTCTTTTCTCTTGCCTAACCTTCCAAACTCCTCCTTGTTCCATTTTTTAACATCTCCTATTAATCTTTTGACCTTCTAAGTACCTGATCAGGACTGCCAGTAACATCATACTTCTCCCACCACTCCTTTAATTTCTCTATGAAACCTTAAACCTGAAACCACGTGTTCTCGAGTTCGAAGTAAGAATTGGTTTCACCTATTCTTCACATTCTAGCATCACTAGATTGTTTTGGCATAATAGATTGTTTGATTTCTTTAAAGGCCTCGTCACATTCAGCTGATATCAAGAACCTATCGATCCTTGATGCTTGTGACCATGTTTCTACATTTATAATTCATTTTCAGGCCAATATTAGACAATAAAAATAAAAAGGACAACAAGTTTCCTATATATGCTACTTGCACAAAAACATCTGACAGGCTAAACGAATCATTGAAAGAATAGAACTTAATGTAAACATACTAACATGACTAAATCATTTTTCCAACTGATTGGTATTATTTATATAAATCTCTTTCTTCCATTGTGCCTCATATTTTGCTAAATTTGCATGAATTCCAAGAAATTGTAGGCCTTTCGAGACAACTTCATTTCAGGTGGTTTTAACATCTCCATGCAACATGTTTTCACATCAACAGACCGGTACATCTAAAGGTCAGCCCAAGACATGTTCAAACCATCTCATACGACCTTCTCTTATTTTCTCCTCAATGTGTACTACTTCCCCCTTTGGCATAATTTGGTCTTTTTTTTTTTGTCTCACCAAACTCGTATTTCTGTGACATTCATTTTGTGGATGTGTTGGACTTTTTAGTAGCCCAACATTCACGCTCATATCACATTGTTGGTCTTATAATTGTTCTATAAAACTGGTCTCAAGTTCGAAATCCCTTGCCAGCGAAAGCAAGGGGTTTGCCTTCTGGGTCGAGCTCGTCGCACCAGGCTTGCCTAGTGCGGGTTACCTCTCCTATGTGGTTTGCGAGCTATTGCATAGGAGCAGGGTTTTACCCTATGCGCACCCAAAGGGTAGCGGCTGCAGGTTTCCCTTGACATAAAAAAAAATATATATATATATATAATTGTTCTATAAAACTTACCTTTCCTTCCTTCTATCAGAAATAACCCAATAACAGTTTTCTATTTCGACCATCCTTTTAACTATTCCATGCAAGCTACTCCTACCAGAATTTAAAACCAAGGTTCCTCAAGCCCTAGCCATGAACTCAACTTATTCATTGTGGGTCAATCAATCAAATATGTCCCTTTTCGGTTTCGACCCAAATTAGGTCCCGAGAAAATCTGAATTCACACCGTAAAGTCCCACATTGAGGGACAAAGCACTCCCTAACAAAGGCGACTCCATACCCAATGGGACTAGAATCCAACATCTCTGATTAAGGATGAACAAGTAATATCTCAATCCCAAACAAGTTGGAGTTGGCTACATGAATTCTCTATACTAGTTCCTCTCTATTATTTCATTCTAATACTAAAAAAAACAGTACTTTAGAAGAAGAAAAAATATCTAGGGGTTCTGTAAAACTAGAGCAGTTATCTAAAATTACACTATTCAGTTACAGGTACTCCACATATAGATTCCAAAAGTTGTAAATCAAGATTCACTACGAAGCAGTACATTCAACAAAGATTCTATTTTCAGTTTATAGAAAGAAGGGAAAAAAAAAACAAGAAATGGAGCATTACCCATGAGAGAAGATTGTAGAATTAGTAAATTGAGAGCAACCCCATCACTCCAATCGATGGGTCCGTGAAAAATCCTCCAGCTACATAAAATGGAAATACTGGTGTATACCCAATACACGAAAATGGCGAACATCAATATCCGTATCCATACGATCAAACTGTTGTTTCCGCGAGACAAAGCTAGAAGAAATGGTTCTTGAAATTGGGTCTGGAAGCAAATCCCAAAGTATACAAGTATTTCGCCCAAAACAAGGGAGATAAGTACGAATAGTATAAGGTATGTGGCCAACATCGTTTGTTCAACTAAGCTAAGCTCCCATGGCGTTTATTCATGCTGTATGCTCAAATCAAATTGACAATTTGACAATTTGACAATTTGACAATTTGTCATCTAAAGATGCCCTTTTTTTTTGTTCTTTCACCTATTGCAAGGTGTTTGTTTAAAAAATGGTTTACCACATAATAGAGACATCTAAAGTTTGATAAAAAAAAATTATTTAAATTTTTTTAACTAAGACTAGAAACAAGTGCATGTGCTAGCACGGATTCAATATCTGTTATCCCTTCTTTATGGGAAAATTAGCAATTAAGTCATAATACCTAACATAATTAGTCAAAATAACAACACTTTAAAATATTTATTTAAAATGACAGAATGACAATATTTTTATAAAATAATATGTATTCAAATTTTAGTATTTAAAATTAATTTTATTTATGGAAAAAGTCCTACATTGGACCAAATTATATATCAATAACCGTTTAAAGAAAAAAAATTAAACCAATACACATTAACCTTTTTTCAACTCCATTCACGTTTCTTCCCCACTTTTCACGTCTTCCCCACCTTTAACGTTTCAAGTTTATCTTTCTTCAAGGTGCTAAATTGTTGTTCATCAAGAAATCTTCTTTATTGTTAAATGAAATATATTTATTAATTCAAGCAGATTTCTCGATTGGCAAGGTAATTTCCATTATCCATTTTGATTTATTTTGATTTGATGTTTAAATCACCGATTCTATATATTACGGATTTCCAGTCGAATTTTTCAATTTTTATGTGATTTTGTTTAGTTATTCATCAAATAGTTATGATTTTCAATTTTTTCGATTCTTTTTGTGATTTTCTTTTAATTTTTCAGATTTTGGAGAATCTAGAAATTCATATGTATGTTTATTTTGTTTGATATTTAATACATTCTAATTTTTGATAATTTCGAAATTCAAATTATCAAAAAAATTGTTTTCATATTTGAGATTTAGTAGATTGTAGTAACTACATTAGCACACATACATCATATATTGTTTGATTTTTTTATACATTCATATTTAATAATTTCGAATTTTGCTTATAGGGTTACTAATGCACAAGTGAATATGGATTCAAATTCGGTTTTGATGAAAAAAATCGGAAAAAAGAACATAGTAGATGAAGAAGAAGAAGAAAGACAAAGTCAAATAAGAAGGTTACAAAATTGTATTCATACCACAATTGTATTCATATTAATTTTTGTTTGTCAATTGTTTTTCTTTTACTCATCATTTGTATTTTTATTTTAAAATATTGTATTTCTTTTTTAGTTTGTAGTAATTTAAATAGGTATATAATGTATTCGTCACAATTCTATATATTATGATTAAATACATAATTTATAGAATTGTGACGAATACATTATAAGAAGGGAAATGGAAACTTATTGGTATTCATTTTTTTCGTTTGAAATACAAAATCATACTGAAATACAACTTGATATTTGAAATACAAACTTAGTAAGACATATTTTGTATTTTATTTGGCTAAAGCAATATAATTTTATGAATACATAATATATAAAATTGTGCGATGAATATATCACAAGAAGGGGAATACAACATTATTGGTATTCATTCTGTGTTTGATATACAAAATGATATTGAAATACAACCTGATATTTGAAATAAAAACTAAGCTAGAAAATATTTTCTGCAAATTTAAAGTGAAATAATAATATAACAAAATTGGATATTGAAATATAAATACAATTTATTTTGAATAAACTTATTCTATGTATTCATCGCAACTGTATTTTTCAATATCATTTCGATCTACAACTAATTTGTATTTATAATTTGGTATATACTACACAACTGCCTTTATTTTTGTACTTGAACTAGAATGCCAAAGAGTTGTATTCATCATAAATCAATACCAACATTTTTTGTATTTTAAATTAGTTATACATATCATTAGGTATTCGAATACATTTCGGATGAACACATATTCAAAGAAGTTCAAACATTTAAATATCCAAAACAGAGGGCATTAGAAATTTTCCAACACTTCCACTCATATAAGATATAAAATACAAACTACTGTTTTCAAAAAAAAAATTGAAATTCTTAAGAACAAAGGAAAAAACGCTAGAAAGAAAAATGACAACATATGCTCTTTCAAAAACGTAACTAATGTTAAATTTAAAAAAAATTACCTTTTTTGAAATTTTTTGTTCCATGATTTTCTCTATTCAGTTATTAATTATTTGTATTCTTTCAAATTAATCAAAATAAAATAAATACATAACTCAATCCTTAACAAATTAAAATATTGACATTTTAAATAAATAGTGAAACTATTGCTAAGGAGTCCCATTAAAAGCTAAAATATTGTTGTTTTGAAAATTTTCCCATTTTTTATCTCAATTTATGTGATATAAATAGAATCAGGAAAGTCAATTAAATTTTAATATGATTTTTAGATATTTTAAATTGTTAATTATTGTCATTTATAGTACCGTAATTTTTAAATAATATATGTTTACTCTCCTTGTTCAAATTTATGTGATACTGATAAATTTTCTGGGAACAAATTGTTTTTATCTCTTTTAATTTTTAATTTTTTAATTTTTTAATTATGAATTTATGGTCTATATTACTTTTATGTCATTTTAAAACAATATACGTTACTCATCTATCCATATTTATGTGACACTGATTCGAGGGTCAACTTTTTATATGTCTTTTAAATATTTTAAGTTGTTAATCGTTGTGATTTATAGTATTTCTTACGTAATTTTCAAATAATATATATTATTCAATTTGTCCAAATGGATGTAGCACATATAGAATTTCAAGAGTCAATCAAATGTTGTTAATTATTGAGATTTACAATACCTTTTACGTAATTTTCAAATTGAATAATACATGTTACTTCTTTTGTCTCATTTTATGTGACACCGATAGATTAATTTCAAGAATCAATCGAATATTTTATACGTTTTTTAAAAAAGAATTAAATTGTCAATTATCATAATGTATAGTATTTTTTATGTAATTTTTAAATATCTAAAAATTAAAAAATAAGACAAACAAATTAAAACGGAAGAATCATAAGAAAATTACAGAAATGTTCAAAAGGTGCTCAAGCAAGCATGTTGACCTGTTGCCTGCTTGAGTACCTAAACTAGGGTTGCGTATCGGTCGGTTCGATTTTGAAGTATATCGGTTTGGCTTATTGGTTATCGATTTGTAGAGATGCTAAACCGTTATAGAACCATTATGATATTGGCTTATCGGTTATTGATTGTTATCGGTTTAACCGTTAAGATTTGACACAAAAATAAATTAATGAAAAATACTTAGAAACAAGGTGACAAATCGAATGAATCATGTACATGAGTTCACAAGTTGCATCTTGCTCAAATGCAAACACTTTAACATTGTAGAATAACCAAGATTTTGAGATTGCCAGAAATAAAAGTAGGAAACTAAACTCTAAGTCAAATGACTTTATATACAAAATGGTATAAATATAATTATTTAATTTACTATCGGGTTATCACTTATCAGTTAACCCATTAAGAAAAAACCTCAAACCGTTAAGAACCGATAACCCGATAATAAAAAAAAAATTATCTGAACCACTAAACTAATAACCCATTACTAATAAACCAATAACTCTTTTTCGATTCGAATTATCAATTTCGATTCGATTTTGAACCACCCTAACCTAAACTCCCTCTTATAAATAAGTAGAATATGTTTTAATTGAAAATTTAATGTGTTAAAAAACCGTCATATTATATAGTACTCCTATTTTGATAATCAAAGAAAGAATAAGAAGAGTGTAATATACCCTATATTGATGTGGCAAAATAATGAATGGACTGATTATATGTCGCATTTTGAGTTAAAAAAGATGAGAAAAAAATATTTTAAAATTAGAGAAAATTACGCGTATAAGTAAACATATACTAGTTAATTAGTTAACATACCTATAGTTTGTCTTAATTATAATTCGTGACCTACTTTTAGCTATAATTATGCGGCTCGGCTTTTTAGTTTTGTATAATTCGCACGTTAGTATAATTCGGAATTTATATAATATAATTTGTATAACTTTTGTATAATGTTATTTTGTATAATATAATTTGTATAACTGTTTACACTTCATATGTTTGTAATTGTATAAATTCGTTAGTTCGAGTTTATACAAAAATAACTAAATTATATAAATGTACCGTGAATTATACAAACCTGCGAATTATAAAAACCCACGAATTATACAAACGAGACAGCTGAAATTGTAGCTACAACCCGTAAATATACAAACTATAGTTATGGAGCATAATTAAGTTTATTATAGTGGCTATTTGCGAAAATTCCCCTTAAAATTATAGTTTAGTTATACTTTTTACACTCCCAATAGTTTAGATATAAAATTAAAAAGAAAAAAATAGTATATTGTGTTTTTTATACTTGACTAAAAAATGATGTGTTAATTAAAAAAACTTGTGGACAAAAATTTTGAGTCAGACGCGCCTAAGTGTGTATACACACCTTTGGTTCAGTCAGCATTGACATGTGTTCCTCAAATCTCCAATAATTAAGAATGATTTAGCAAGAAAATAACTTTTAAAAATTTCATCATTTCATATCATATATCCCAGGAGCCGATAAGCAGGGCGGAAGAGATTGAAAACAACAAATTGGGCTATACGGGATAGGTTGAAGTCTTCGCGAATTTATGCAGTTCACTCACTCCACCACGGCACCGCTTGCCATCCCAAATCTTGGACAACGACATATATGCATTCTATGTTTACTCGACAAAAAAAGAATAAAAAAATGGAAGTAATATAAGATTGTAAGAGTATGTGAGGTTGTTTTGCCTAAACGTAAATAGTTCAAATATATATATAAGCTCCACGTATAATGAGAATAGTATGTTATACATGGAGATGTAAAACAAAAGATCAAAACAAGACAATTGAGGTGAAAAAATGATAATGGAGTCCTATGTAATAACAAGTTGTATATGATAGTTATAAGACTTAACAATATTATATTTATTTATTTA